CTGAGACTGTGGACAACTCCATGAGCCGGGAGCGGAGACTGTTAAGGTGAGGGTCAGTCGGTGCTGCAAGATGCAGAGAGAGGATTAATTTTCTCCCTGAGGTTGCAGCAGATCTCAATTTCCCCCCCCCCCACCCCCCCCCTCTCTCTCTCTCTCTCTCTCCCTCTCCTTCATCCACTGCTACAATAAATCATCCAAATTAATTGCATAAGCACTTAGCCAGTGGGCGGGATGCCAGGCGCTCACTTTCTCCCGAACAATTAAATACTCGGAGACAGAAACACGGCGCAATTTGCATTTCGCTGTCTTGTCGAGACGCACTCCTATTATTTCACTGATTAGGGTTCTCGAGCCGTGTGGGTTTTTTTTTTCTCTCCACACCCCTCCCTCCCTCCCTCCCTACCCCCCCACCACCCCACCCAACTCCACCTCGCTTCCCCGTCTCACCCCCGCCCTGCCTTCCAGCCCCTCACCCTCGCTCCCCCTCTCACACCCTCCCCCCCCCCCCCCCCCGCGCAGAACAAAACCACTCTCGATTGCCCTTGATGGAAGCTTTGCAAAGTCACGGTGTCAGGATTCAGGAGTCATAAGCCCTGGCGATTTATAGTCATTGCTTCATCAATATGTCATGGTGGGGGAAGCTTACATCCTTCTCTCTCTCTCTCCATCTCTCCGTCTCTCTCTCTCTGTCTCCCTCTCTGTCTGTCTTTCTCTTTCTCTCTGTCTCCCTCTCTCTCTCTGTCTCTCTCTCGGTCTCTCCCTCTCTCGATCTGTCTGTCTCTGTCCCCCCACCCCCCCCCCTCTCTCTCTCTCTCTCTTTCTCTCTCCCTCTCTTTGTCTGTCTGTCTCTATCCCTCTCTATCTCCCTCTCCCTGTCTCTTTCTCTCTGCCCACCAATAAATCCTGGCCACTTTGGAGACTTCTGCCACAATTCGAGAGGCTTCGAGGGTATATTTCTTTCTTTATGTCCCTTATGTGTCTGCAGACACTGTCTTCAATACCCACAGGTACAAGGAATCCTTGAAAATGTCCGGCACCCAATATTCCTAAAGTAGCCGCGTGTGGCTTCAGTTACGTTGACGTCAACAACAATAATAATAAATTGGTCACTTCAATCCACGACTGTTTGTGGGGACGCTGCTGTGCGCAATTGGTGGCTCTGCGTTTCTCTGCAAAGCACACAGTCACTACACTTTACAGTGTACGCTTATCGACGTCTCGACGACGTGATAAGGCGCTGTATCAAATGCAAGGATTATTTATTATATCCTGTGCGGGATGCAATATATTCTTTGAGATGTCTCAGCGACACAATAAGACTCTCTGTCGAATGCAAGGATTATTATTATTATTATTATTATCATCACGCCTTTGAGACGTCTCAAAGCTCTTCGCGGGATACACTGTAAAGTGGAGTGACTGTGTGTTTTGTGGACAGACTGCAGCAACTTGAGAGAGAGAAAGAGAGAGAGAGAGAGAGAGAAACTCCCTTCTCTTTGCGCTGCGGGAGATCTTTAATGGAGGTTTAACGTCTTGTTCGAAGGACGGAAAGAGGGGTAATAACAGGGGTGACAAGGCAGAGAAAAGGCTGCATTTATATCCCACAGTTGTCCCATTACAACTAAAGCACCAGTCCTTTGCATTGCAATTAATAATAATAATAATCCTTGCATTAGATACAGCGCCTTATCACGTCGTTGAGACGTCTCAAAGCGCTTCAGA